GTCGGTTGGGGTTGGCAGAACCCCGTTGGCATTAGCCTGTGGGTTAAGGACCCATGGGTTGGCATTGTCCCGTTAGTGTTGGTTGGCCTTGGTGGGTCTAGATCTTGTGGGTTGGTGTGGATCCCGCTGGTGTGAGCAGGCCAAGGACCCGTGGGTTGATGCAGGTCCCCTTGGCAGGCCAAGGGCCCCTGTGTTGGCATAGACCGCCTTGACACCAGGGCTGTTGTTGGGGGCATAGCCTGTTGGAGTTAGTGGGTCAGCGCCCGGAGAGTGGCATGAGCAGATCCCACATTACCACGTTCAACCCCGCAGCCCATGGGGATGTGTCTCCTGTGGCCAGCCTGATGCCTGGGACAGCAGTCGCGCAAGGCAGGGGACTGGGAGGCGAGGGTCTGTGGCAGTGCCGTGCACAGGAGGTTGGTGTCACGGCAGGAGCTGGCTGCTGGGTGTCCCCCCCCTGCACAGGGCATGGAATTTTCGGAGATGGCTGTTGCAAGGAGGGGTGGGACCACAGCAGGTCAGATCCTTCTAAGTGTTTGATGGGGGAGGAAGCCCACCTTGGGTGTTGCAGGCTAAAGTGGGATGAGGGGTGTGAGACCCTGCCTCTCCTCCCTGCTCATCGTGTCTGTTCTGCGCTGCGACAGGTACATCATGACAAGCGGCCGGACTATGGAGTCCACCAAGGAGTTCTTCCTGAAGCATCGCTATTTTGGCTTGAAGAAGGAAAACGTCATCTTCTTCCAGCAGGGCATGTTGCCTGCCTTGGGGTTTGATGGCAAAATCCTCCTTGAAGAGAAGGGCAAGATCGCCATGGCGCCAGGTCGGTGGCTGGGGACTGGCAGGAGGGGTGTGTGGGGGCAAGACGTGGTGCTATGGACAAAGTTTGGGAGCTGAAGCCTGCGTAGGGCAGTCCCACCGTGTGACGTGGCCCACGGGTGACCCAGCTGGGAGGTGTCTTGGCAGGGAGAACCAGGGTGGGGTACGCCTGGGCCAGTGACCCTCCACCCTAGCTCTGTGGGGAGGGAGGATGAGCGTGGGTGGCTGACGGGACAGCCAGGCATTGCTACATCCCTGACGCTTGCATTTCTCCTTCCCAGATGGCAACGGGGGCCTGTACCGGGCCCTGGGGGCACACGGCATCATGGACGACATGGAGCGGAGGGGTGTGCAGAGCGTCCATGTCTACTGCGTGGACAACATCCTGGTGAAAGTGGCTGACCCCCGGTTCATTGGGTTCTGCTTGGAGAAGGGAGCAGACTGCGGGGCAAAGGTATCTGAGGGATTGCAGGCACCAATTCCCTGGAGCAGGGTGGGGTCTCTCCTGCTCCTTGCCTGGCTTTCCTGAGTCTTCACCCTTCCTTTGCCGGCTTGTCACAGCTAGGAGGGATAACTAAGCACCGGGAGCTTGCTGGTGAAGCATGCAGAGCCCCACCTGCCCCTTGGGTCTGGCATTCCAGGAGATGTGGGACGTTACTGACCCTGCTTGGCACTTCTCCCCTCCTGTCTTGTACGGGGACGTGTCCCTGCTGGCCCCAGGGTCCCCAGCGCCCCTCGTCTCTGGGGTGAGAGCTGCCGGGGAGCCCCACGGGGCTGGGCAGCTGTTGTCCGGGCAGCTGCGGGGAGCTCAGGCAGCCGGGATCCCTGCCACGGGCTGCCAGCCGTCCCCAGCTGTGACATCCTGGACACCAGACCAGGACACGGCGGGTACAGCTGACGCTGAGCCCAGCCCCAGGTCTCGCAGGCAGGACGTTGCATGCCCAAAGCTTTACTTAAAGGCTGGATTAACAGCCAAAAGGTCGGTATGATTGTGTTTGCATTGGGCTCGGCTCTGGCAAACAGGTGAGAGGGCTTGCTGGCCCTAAAGCTTGTAAAGAGCAAGCTGGGAAAGGGAAAGCAGTTCCTCCTTCTGTCCTGAGCCAGAGAAGGAGGAAATAAACCCTAGCATGCAGAAAGGAGAAAGCCCTGCGTCCCTGCGTGCTGCGCTGTCATGGTGGCAGTGACGGGTAGGGATTTGCTGGGGGGGGGCTGTGACAAGAGGGGCGTGTGTGGGGTGTGAGGAAGAGGAGGGAGGTCAGGTGTGCGAGGATGGCTCTGCTGAGTCAGCAGGTTCCTGCTTGTGTCTGGCAAGCTGGCTGTTCATGCGCAGGCTGGGTGCTAAAAATATCCGTACCCTCTGCCAGCCGCACGTGGGCTGGGTGCCAGATCCTGCCCGTGCCCTCAGGGTGTGCCTGACACCCTGTCACCCCACCCTGCCATCTCACCCTCCTCCGGTCACCGTTGCTAGCAGAAGGCCCTGGGAGGGGAGCGCTCCAGCATCCCTATCCCTGCACTATCCCTGCTGTTCTGCACAGGGAAAAACTTCTGTGGGGGCTGCTAGATTCAAGGGGGGTGTATTTGAAGTGTGGGGCATTTCCCTGACGACGCTTCCCTTGGGCAGGTGGTGGAGAAGACCAACCCCACGGAGCCGGTCGGTGTGGTGTGCCGAGTGGATGGCGTCTACCAGGTGGTGGAGTACAGCGAGATATCCCTGGCCACTGCCCAGAAACGGGGCCCGGACGGGCGGCTGCTCTTCAACGCCGGCAACATCGCCAATCACTACTTCACCACCGCCTTCCTGAAGGATGTAGTGAAGTAAGGGCCTGCTGGGGTGCCGCCAGCGTTCCGGAAGAGGAACGCCGGTGCTGAGCAGACCCCTCTGCCCGGCTGCCTGTGCCTTGCTTTCCACTGGTTGAGCTCCAGCTGTTGCAGTCGTGCTGGGATGAGGCCTGTGGGGTATGGTCCTGGCATGCATGGCCTGACCCTCACCTCTCTGCACGGTCCCTTCCTTGAGATAAGGTTTTCCCTGGCCATCGCCGGCTGCTGCTGCCAGAGTGCAGGCGTGTGGGGCCGTCTCCTGGCTGCTGTGGGGATGATCAGCCCCTGCCTCGGGGCGATGGTCAGGGCAGAGCGGCTGTCCTGCCGCAGCGGTGTCTGAGCCGGGGGGCTGGAGACGTGCCCTGCTCGCTCGAGTGAGTGACGGCTCTTTCCTGGCCTGTTGCAGCACTTATGAACCGCAGCTGCAGCACCACGTAGCTGAGAAGAAGATCCCACATGTGGACATCACTACAGGGCAGCTGATCCAACCGGAGAAGCCCAATGGGATCAAGATGGAAAAGTTTGTCTTTGACATCTTCCAGTTTTCAAAGTAAGCCCTTTTCTCTCTGCGCGGAGCAGGCTGCTGGCTGTCCCTCGGGTAGCTCTGAGAGCCACTGAGGGGGTGCCAGGGCTGTGCCCACTGGCGATGCCCCCGGGTGGGGAGAGGATGCCACCCTGTTCAGCAGTGGTGGACAGTTGTGCCCTGAGATGAGCAGGGACATGAGCAGCAGGAGGGGCAGGCCCCTACAACCCAGATCCTCCTGTCCCCCATGGGTGTGGCTGTGGGGGGACCGTGGCTCCGGCTCAGCCATCCTGGCAGGGATGAAGCCAAGGTGACAGGGAGCAGGCACGTTTCCCAAACCTGACCCTCTTGCACCCTGTTCCCCTCAGGAGGTTTGTCGTCTACGAGGTGTTGCGCGAGGACGAGTTCTCTCCCCTGAAGAACGCAGACAGCCAGAACGGCAAGGACAACCCCACTACAGCCCGACACGCCTTGATGTCCCTGCACCACTGCTGGGTTCTCAATGCGGGGGGGCACTTCGTGGATGAAAACGGCACGCGCATCCCCGCCATCCCTCGGTGAGTTGTTGTTCCCAGCGCTCCCGCGTCCTTTTTGGGATGGGTAAAACACACCGGGGAGTCTCCAGCCCTTCTCCAGCTCAGCGCTCCTGAAACCAGCACTGCTGGGGGGACCAGCTGCGTGTCCCTTCTCCTGTGTGGTCTGTGGGGCAGGGCTGGGTGGGACCTGTAGGAGGGGTGCTCACTCGGTTGGCAGGAGTTTTCTTTCTTAATTCAATTGCTGTGAACCTGTCTCCATTGCACAGCCAAGGTTGCCCATGCAGGTGGCTCCCTAAAGCCCAATCACGCCAGCAGAGCCAGGCTGGGGTCACGTTATCCCTCAACCGAGAGACTTCCCGCTTCCTGTGTTTGGAGAACAGCAAACCCCAGACTCGTTCTGCTCTGTTTCCCCCCTGCCCTTGCTAACCCTTGTTTATTCCCACGTAGCGTCACAAACGGAAGGTCAGAGGCCACCCCGGCAGATGTCAATGACAAGTAACTATACCGTGCAGCGTGCATGGTGGCGGGGCTGTGCTTAGGTACTAATGGGCTGTAGGCCAAGCAGGGCGCCAGGCTGCCGCGGGCGCACGCTGGTGAGCGGGCCCCCGTAGTGACTAACGGGGCCGGGGGGGGCTGGGGGCCGCATGCTGGGAGCTGGGCATGTCTTGCTACGGGACCCCACGGACGCCGCTTTACACGGTGCTGGGCGGTGGGCAGCGTCTGCTCCCTCCTGGGCTCCTTTCCGCAGAAGCAGCCGGCGGGGATAACCGGAAGGGGCTCGTGCCGCTGGCGCAGGGGAGCCCCCAAAGGTCACCCTGCGGGCGGGGTGCTGTTGGGAAACGCGTTGGCACGTCCCTGTGGTGACACTCCCGTGTTCGTCACGCTGTGGCGTAGGCAGCCTGGACTGCTCCTGGCCGGTCCCGTAGCCGGAGACGGCTGTCATCTCCGGGTGTCTGCCAGGCACATCGCAACGGGATTAAAAACGTGAAGTAAATGTCACGCAGGCTTTGATGTAGCCTGTGCAAATCTCGGCGTAGGCGGCCAGCTGGGCTCTGTGGGACTTCAGCTCTTGAGTTTTGAAGATTCAGACCTTGACACCAGGGAAAACCCCTGGCTCCGTGCTTGGAAGTTTACAGAAGTAACCGGGAAAGTTGACGGAAGTGCTGAAGCGACTTGTGTAATCGCAGCGTGTTCTGTAGGCACAGGGCCCGGCTGTGCCGCTGGGACTTAGAGCTGGTGAGTGCTAATGACTTGCTGCCTCAGCAAGCTCACTACCTCCTCCCCCCCAGGAGAAGTTGTCTTCTCTGGTGGGATACACCTGGGGTCTCTGCTTGGAATTCAAACCTCCGAGTGCTTTCAGGCTTATAACCGAGGCCGTCGCACTAGTTCCTGTAGGATAAAGGATGTGGTTTTCCTACCCTCGCCCTTCATGGCTAGTTAATGGATATGTTTTTAAAGTATTACCTTGAAATGCACCCGACGCCACGGCAAACACAAGTGCAAGGGCTGGGTTAGGGCGGGTGCGTTTTATTTACTCGCAGCTGGGACAGGAGGGGGCTGAGCGTGGCAGCAGGGACAAGG